ATGGTTTGTTACATTCATCGATGATCACACAAGATTTGTTGGGTGTATTTGTTAAGAGAGAAATCAGAGGTTGCAAGTGTGTTTCAAAAATTCTACAGCATGGTTTTGACACAATTTCAAGAAAAAATCAAAATTGTTCGGAGTGACAATGGAAAAGAATATTTCAATAAAATTTTGGGAAGTTTTTTCTTGAAAAAGGGATTGTGCATCAAAGCTCCTGCAATGATACCCCACAACAGAATGGGGTAGCTGAAAGAAAAAATAAACATCTTTTAGAAGTGGCGAGGGCATTACTTTTTTCAAGAAATGTTCCTAAATATCTATGGGGCGAAGCAATTTTAACTGCTACATATCTCATAAACAGAATGCCCTCAAGAACCTTGAATTTCCAAACTCCTCTGAATTTTTTCAAAACAATTTATCCCATGTCTCGATTAGCATATGAAGTCTCATTAAAGGTGTTTGGGTGCATAGCCTTTGTTCACAATCATGAACAAGGTCGAAGTAATTAGACCCTCGAGCAAGAAAATGCATTTTTGTTGGATATGCACCCACGCAAAAGGGGTATAAATGCTTTGACCCCATTTCGAAAAAAATGTTTGTAACCATGGATGTAACATTTTTTGAAGATAAACCTTTCTTTGGAGATCCTCTTCAGGGGGGACTCGGCATGTAGAAGAACTTGTAGAATATGATGATGTTTTTCGTATTGAAAATCAAATTCCTAATCAAAATTTTGTTGATAGCGAATTGATTTTTCTAATTTTTTAGAAGAATCTACAGCACAATTTCCTCAACAAGAATCTTTTCAAGATAATAATCCTGAAAAATCAAATGACACTCTTCAATTTGCCCGTCAAAAGGATTTTGAAAAACGTGAAAAAATTGATAGGGATTAGAAGAGGATCTCTTGTCTTTAGTGCCAATAACAGAGTCGAATTCTCTTAGTGAAAGAGATGGGAATGTAACTGAAAAAACCTTGAAAACCTATGTCAGGAAAAATCATCGAGGAAAAGATAAAGCTCCCCCTTCTCTTCACAACAACGAATCCGAACCTAGGACAAATTTGATGTTTTTGAGTCATCAGATAAAGTTTCCTCTGATTCAAAGATTGCTAATCTGGATCTTCCTATTGCACTTCGAAAGGGAGTGCGTTCTTGTACCAAACACCTTATGACTAACTATGTCTCTTATGAAAAGTTATCCCCTACTTTCTTGACATTTACTTCACAACTTTCTTCTGTGGAAATTCCAAAGAATGTACAGGAAGTATTACAAGTTCCAGAGTGAAAAAAGGCTATTGAAGAAGAGATGTATGCTCTTGAGAAGAATCAAACATGGGAAGTAACAAACCTGCCACAAGGGAAAAAGACAGTAGGGTATAAATGGGTCTTTACCATCAAGTATAATTCCGATGGGACATTGGAATGGTACAAAGCTCGATTGGTGGCTAAAGGGTTTACTCAAACCTACGGGATCGATTATCTTGAAACTTTTGCTCCAGTGGCAAAATTAAACACTATTAGGGTGCTTCTCTCAATAGCAGTAAACCTTGATTGGCCACTCCAACAACTTGATGTCAAGAATGCATTTTTAAATGGTGATCTGGAGGAAGAGGTGTACATGGATTCTCCCCCTGGATTTGAAGGGAAGTTTCAGTCTAGAGTTTGCAAGCTAAAAAAATCGTTATATGGTCTCAAACAATCTCCTAGGGCCTGGTTTGAAAAATTTACTAGGTCGGTAAAGGATCAAGGCTATACCCAAGCTCAGAGTGATCACACCATGTTTGTTAAACACTCCAAGGACGGGAAGATAGCAGTACTCATTGTGTACGTGGATGATATCATCCTCACAAGAGATGACTTAATTGAGATGGAACGGCTGAAGAAAAGTCTTGCTTCTAGCTTTGAAATCAAAGATTTGGGAACACTACGATATTTTTAGGGATGGAGGTAGCTCGGTCCAAGAAGGGCATTGTTGTGTCCCAACGCAAGTATGTTTTGGATCTTTTAAAGGAAATAGGGATGAGTGGATGTCGACCTGCAGACACTTCTATGGATCCGAATCACAAGTTAGTAGATATAAAAGATGGAACACCAGTTGATACTGCTCGATACCAAAAGTTAGTAGGCAAGCTAATTTACTTGGCTCACACTCGTCCTGATATAGCTTTTTCAGTGAGTGTTGTGAGCCAGTTTATGCATTCTCCATATGAAGAGCACCTTGATGCAGTATATCAAATTCTGAGATACTTAAAAAGTACTCCAGGAAAGGGATTGTTCTTTAAAAGAGGAGATCGAAAACCATTGAAACTTATACAGATGCTGATTAGGCAGGATCAGTCATTGATAGAAGATCAACCTCGGGGTATTGTACCTTTGTATGGGACAATTTGGTTACTTGGAAAGTAAGAAACAAAGTGTTGTAGCTCGTAGTAGTGCAGAGGCAGAGTACCGAGCTATGGCTCATGGTGTGTGTGAGATGTTATGGCTGAAGAGAGTTTTAGAGGAGCTGAAAAGACCTATTGAACTTCCAATGAGGCTCTATTGTGATAACCAGGCGGCAATTAGCATAGCTCATAATCCTGTGCAACATGATAGAACCAAACATATTGAGATTGACCGCCACTTCATAAAAGAGAAACTTGAAGGAGGAATTATCTGCATGCCATTCGTTCCATCAGCTCAGCAGATAGCTGACATTCTCACCAAAGGACTCCTCAGATCAAATTTTGAACTTCTTACAAGCAAGTTGGACATGATAAATATATATGCACCAACTTGAGGGGGGTGTCGAAGATATTATCTCCTATGATTATGGGAGATATTATCTTCCATAATTCTCTCCATGATTATTAGAGATATTACCTCCCATGATTATGGGATTTTATTGCTTATGATCAATCAAGTTTGAATAGATAGGATATGAGTTGATTATGTAATCTCTAAAATCATGGTTCTATTACCTTATGATAGGGTTGTCCTATAAATGCCTACCTTGTAAGCATATTTAGGTTGTGGGAAAATAAAGAAAAGTAGAGTTTTTGGTTCATTTTTCTTTATTTACAATATCCTTTAGGACTTTATAATTTCTAGAATTATTTGTTTGGAGAAATGGAATTTCATGGCACGCAATTTCACTTGGAGATAGACTGTTTGTACAAAATTAAAAGACAAATAATTAATAGTTGTGTTTAATCATCCAACTTGTGAGTTGGGAAACAAGTTGAAGCCGTATCACTACTGGTGAATCAAAATTTGGGTAGATTCGATTTTCAAAAATTCAGTGATCTAAATTGTGCCATACCACCTGATGAGATGATGTGACACAATTTGAACCATTGAATTTTTAAAAACTAGTCGGAGTGATGTTGACAATGACCTGATGAAGATCAAATTCATCAGTTGTTGATGCTGTTGTGGCCCTTGTGCGTTTCAATTAATAGGATCATTTAATTAGTTACTTGGGCTGAGGGATTATAGCAAACTCTTGGGTTGTTTTGTTGGACTGGTCCAAGTTCAGAAAAGGAAAAAATAAAAAAAAAAGGAAAAGAAAGAAAGAAACATGTGTTTATATATGTATGTATATACGTATGCATGTATGTATGTATGTATGTATGTATACACACATATGTAAACCTGTTGTAAAAACTAAAAAGATAAACATGTGATAATATATAGACACGTATAAACCTTCTGTATGTGTCTACTTATAGATTACTGGTATTGTTAATAACTTAATATTCATGTTAGCTATATTGTATTATCATGTATTGTTCATTAGTATTTTCTCAAATCATTATACATTACCATAAAAAACCAGCATGTCAACAGGACTTGTATAATGAGTTTACTTAAGTATTATTGCTAATGTCAAGGTATTTCAATTTATAATTCTTGTGGAGTTTAGGGCAATTATGTTCAATTTGTTGGAGACTTTCTTACATTGATTTTATAGAGGCAATTATGCATATCATTTCTTGGCGTTTTATGGCTTTTAGAAGTACAAAATTTTGATCAAGTAAAGTGGAATAGTTAATATGATTGATCTTTTATATACTGTCAATATATATACTCACAGAATTGGATAAATACCACATTATTTGAATTTGAAATTAAACATAAATTTTGTATATGTTCCATGCAGTTAAATCTGCTAGTGTGTACATTATAATCGCATAAAAGATTTACCCAAGTTAATAAAGGTTTTTAGAAAACTAGTATTGTGACCGCAAAGGCTGCTGGGAACTTTGAAATGGAACAAGTAGTTATCTGCAGATCAGAATACAATACCATCAAGGGTGTCTGGAACTGCTGTCTTCTTCTTCCTCGGCAGGTATTGAGGTCCAGACGAATGTAAACTAAGAAAAGTAAGAAAAAGAGAGCAGGCGGGAAAGAAGGCCACGGAAGAAGGGGAGAAGTGTTTCATGGATTCATATATTAATAATAATTAGTCATATATTAACAAACAATTATTGTCATGACATTGACCGCTGAGGCTTGACACAAATCCATTTTCTTAGGTCTCCATTCTCGGTGGAGGGGCTGGAACGGACAACCGTTCCGGAAGGCTCATGGCCATGATTAGGTCAAAAAAATTTGGTGCGGTTCAAATCACTCCTTGTAACTCGATTTTTACGTCATGTGGAACCCACAAAAATATTATTCTAGTGTTACTCGCTGTTGTTCTATTGTTACACCTTGTACAGATAATATTACACCGTGTGCAAATGGTGTTATACCTTCCGGAACGATTGCTCTGACAACTGTTCCGCCCCGGATCCTCCATTCTCAACCACCGGCCCTGACAGGCATTGAAAACTAGGAAGATTTGGTCACTGGTTTTCTCATAATCATTTATGCTCCTTCTCTATCAACAATTAATAGGACAACGGAAAAGAAAAGGAACATTCATGCAACATGTATTTTAGTAATTTTTATTCGTCTAGTTCCACCCATCTTGACGCAAAATACGATTTAATTTCTAGATGAAGAGGGAAGGGAAAAAAAAAAGAAATAGAAGTGGCATTTGTTGTGACTTGAATACAACACACCAAGTAATGAACCATGCTGACTGGAAAAACACTACAACAAAATAATGTGTATTAGTGTACGTAAACAATGACATCATGCACATTAAAGTACCTAACACGGTAGAAAGACCAAAATTAGTAAGCGTGAAGAATAAAAAAGGCGATTTGAAAAATAAGACCCAACAAAGAGACTTGCAATATCATCAAGGCAGGAACGGCAGGGATTTAGCAAAATACAAGAACAAGATGGGGCAGAAAGATCCTGTGATTAGTTTCCTCTACAATCTGCATTCTACGAGTTGAGCCTACGTCAACGTGCCAACAAATATTTTACCTGAAAAAGAAAAATAAACCCAAGTTCAGGATATCACTGGTCACTTATCAGCTTTTTTTTTTTTTTGTCAATTGTCAACCCTACTCCTACTCCTACTCTATCTAGGGGGAGGCTCAACTGAGCCTATGGGGACCGATGGGGACAGAACCACCACCGGACCAGACGGATGCACAACACACCCATCTGGATTTGAAGCAGAGCCACAAGAGTGGCATTTTGGTGGAGGCCACCCCACCAAAGCCTTAAAGGCTTGGTGGTGGCCACCAGCCCAAGAGCTGGTGGTTACTTATCAGCTTTTAATGACACTTTTTTTTTTTAATCCTTTCACCACGCCTTTCCTATCCCAATTGACTGGTACAGGATTCGAACTATAAACTAAGTGCCCTCCCAATAAGCCAATGCAATAAAAATATCAACTTGATAAGCTAATGCAAAGAAATCATAGAACACGAATATACTACCTTACCATCTCAAGTGAAGAGAGTGCACACAGCTTAATCAGAATGATAAGAAAAAAAGTGCATCGAACCCGATCTGCATAAAAAGACACAGGCTGAAAGGTCAAAGAATCAATTTAACATGGTAAGCAAAGCACGATTGACATCTGAGTTTCTTCTCAAGCTAGTTAAAAGTGAGAAAAATTATTTACTGGGCTTTAAAGGAGGAAATTACTAATATAAATTTCACACGACACATAAAAGTAATATGATTCCTCCATTTGAATTTCGACACTTCTTTTCCATTCAAGAAATTTGTTGGAGTCAACAAAAAAATTTTGGACAATAATTTTAAGTGAAAATCAGTAAGAAATCTAAATCTCTGCGTACCTGATGCGTTCACTGCGTATTTCCACACAGGGAATGTCTTCAATCATGGGCCAGTAGTCTCCTCTATCCATCAAACACCTTTTCCAAGAAGTGGGCATTTATTAATTACTAGAGTTTGAAGCGGATTACGCAGCGATTCCTTTGGTAGGATCCAAGCTCGGGGCAGTTAAAGATATGCAGATATCGAAGAGCTGTAAGACCTCGCAAGAACGTGGAGAGCGATTTCAGATTTGGCAAGTCACCAATGGCAACGGACCTAAGAGTTGGAGGAAGCAAAGCCAATCCATCATCACCACTACCAGAAAATGATTCCAGCCCTGGATATCCACCACGGATGTAGAACCTTTCAAGAAACGTGAGTCTGTTGAGTCCCCATTCTGACAGGGGCTTCAGCTGTAAGTTTTCTCCTGCCTCTATGTCAAGAAACTTCAGAGTGGGAGGAAAACCTCCTTGTGGAAATAACAAAGGACTTGAACAAGAATACAACAACAGAGATTTAGTCGTCCCAAACCACTGGGCAAGTAACTAACATTTTTGCATCTGCACAAGGAAAGACGTTCCAAACTTGGAGTGGGCAATTGATCCAGATCATAATCACAATCCCTAATATCCAAAAACCGGAGACTTGCAAAACTGTAGACTGAACCAAGCATTGTTCTCAAATTCAGACATGGGCAGCCAACGACTTCCAGACTCTCAATCGATGTGCTAGTGTCCTCTATGACAATCTCCGGAGTAAGGTTCAGTTTCTGGCAATGTCTGATCCCAAGATTCCTAAGCTGAGGGAGGTGCAACTTGTCCATTGGCAAGCAACTGAGGGCTGAGCAACTGCTTATTCGCAATATGTTAAGACCAGATAATGTAGGCAAAGACTGGAGAGCACTGCAACTTCTATCTTAAGATATTTAAGCATGGGTAAAACAGCAAGCTCCTCCAAGGATGAAAGCTGTGAACATTCTGAAACAACTAAAGATTTTAGCTGCACAAGGTTTACAGTATTACTTGAGCCCCACAAATTCTTCAGTTGATGGCACTCACGTAATGTGATATCTTCAAGGCCTGATGGGAACTGCATGAACGCATCCTCGAGGGATGCAAGCCCTATAATCTGCCGAAAATCCAAATTGTTTAATGAGGTCAAATTGTATAAACATTTTGCAATTCCGACCGAGCACTTTTGCAACTTTAGTTCAGAGAGTGAAGGAAGCTGCAAAACAGGAATGCTTTTCAACTTTGGGCATCTACTTATACAGAGCTTTTGGAGCAGAGGGAAGTGGCATTCGTTCTCTCCTGCTGAACTTAAGCAAGTCCATTCCTCCCATTCTGGCATGTCATCAAATGTTAGACTTTCAAGCAATGGAAAGGAAAATTCCCGAGAGCAATCTTTGCCACATAGCTCCGTACCTACTGCCTTCACCTCAAGCATGGTTTGAATGCTCAAATCCTTGAGCGCAGGCAATTGCCCGAGTGATGGTAAACACTTGCAGTGTGTACAACCTCTAAGGCTTACTTCTTCTAATTTAGTAAATGAAGAATCCCCCACCCAGGAAGAGAATTTGTCTCCCTTATAGAACTCAATTTCAAGACTCGTTAGGTTTGTGTGTGGTCGTAGTGCCTCGAGCAAATCTTGTTGAAGAACTTTACTCAGAGAACCATCATATTCACTATTCCATGCCAATACTATGTTATCAAGGTCCCTCTTGTTCTTCAAATTGGCATCCCGTGCTTCTTGAACATTCGTAACATTTTGCAACTCCAAAATGGCGAGTGACCCTGCCAGTAAGGACAAGTTCCCCAAGTCATTCAGCCTGAACCCACCATTTTTGCTCACAACCACTTTGGATAGTGTCTGCAAGCTCGTCAACTGATCAATCCCTGAAGGCATCTCATGCAATTGACTAGTATTGGAATTTTCAAGATGGCGCAGTTAATTAATTTTCTAATACCCACCGGTAATGTTAATCAGCCCCCAGCAGTCGCGCAAACGTAGTGTTTGTAAATTGCAAAGATTACTCAATGATTCAGGCAACACTTTCAACGAAGTACCAGACAAATTCAGGTACCTTAGATGTATTAATTCACCAATGGAATTTGGTAGATCAGAGATAGCATATCCACTGAATGATAGCACCCTTGAGTATCGCAATTCCAGCAAAAGTTCTGTTATGACCTTTTTAGCGATGTAAAAGTCGCCGTCATACTTGCCGGAAACGGGTAGGAAACTCCGCAAATGTTTTGCTTTCTGAAGTGTTTTAAACTTTTGTGAAGCTCCATACATTGAACTTGTGAATGATGTGTACCTAACCTTGTCAAGAATCGTGCATTTGATGTTCTCTTCCAAGTCGTCTGTCAGTCTGGAACAAAAATCTCCACCAACATATCTAGCTAGATCGTTAATAAGGTCATGCATCACAAAACGTGAACTAGCGGAACTTGACTGCTGGAAGAAGGACCTCATTAGTAGCTCCTTAAAATAATTGTCCCCTATGTCCTCCAAAAGATCACTTGCTTTTGATTCCTCGAGAAAACCCTCTGCCATCCAGAGCAATACAAGCTCATATTTGTCAAACTCATAGTCCTTGGGAAATATGGAGCAGTAAGCAAAGCACGGTTTTAGATGGGCAGGAAGATGATAATAGCTTAATCTTAGTGCTGGAAGAATATCACTTTGATCCTCTTTTATTTCCCATATCTCACTGTTCAGTATATCCGTCCATTCATCTGGGGTCGATCTAGCACGCAACAGCCCTCCAAGAGTCTTCACGGCCAAGGGCAAGTTCTTACATTTCCTTACAATACTCCTACCAATGCCTTCTAGATTGGGGTGCCTGTCAAAATTTGTCCTTCCTAGTGCATGTCTTGCCAGTAACCATAAGCTTTCATCATCTGTCAACTCCTTCAGACTATATCCAGCAGTGGAAGACATTACTGATGCCACCCTATGATGCCGAGTGGTGACAATTATCTTGCTCCCAGATGAACCAACTAGAAATGGGCGGCGCAGGATGTCCCAGTCCTCGTATTTTTCATTCCAAACATCATCTAAAACAATTAGAAACCTCTTCCTGGTCAAGGCCTCACTCAGTTTCACTTGAACCATATTCAGATCCTCATAATCACAGACACCTCGTGTGATTGCTTTAAGGATTGTCTTTGTTACCCCAACAATGTCAAAATCATCTGAAACACAAGCCCAAGCCTTGGAATCGAAAAATTCGTTGACTCTGTCATCATTGTACACCATTTGAGCAAGAGTTGTTTTACCAACCCCTCCCATGCCAACAATTGGTATCACAACCACTTGATCATCACTCGATTCATTTGAAAGGAGCAATTTCAGCACCTCTTCTTTGTCATTCTCTCGACCGTAAACATAAGACTCCACCAAGGAAGTTGATGGCAATCTATCCCTAGTTTTGTTCGGCCTCTTTGCTACAGTCTCTGCCAAATGGAGGATTTTGATTTGTTCTTTCATGCTCTCCAATCTTCTAGTTATTTCATCCACCATGGGAGCCATTTTTCTGTTGAACTTATAATCTTTAACAGAAAAATTTGTACAACAGGAAGGGATTTTAACCTTTCTTACCTTGCTAGTAGAGCCTTGAGCTTCCATCAACTTTCTTCGACAAGCTTCAGTGGAGAATTCGTCGATCACATCATCCATATCATACGCCAAATCCTGAAGATCATCTAGCCACTGCTTCACAGCAATCCTCATATTCTGCTTGTCCTCTGCATCATCAAGCACTGCCTGAATCAGGGATAGCACTTGGATCCATCGTTTCAGCTGAGTATCTAAGCCTTCTGAGCGTGCAAATTTCTTCAAATCCACAGAAGCAAGCTTGTCAAATATCACCTTGATGATTGCACCAAGAAAGACTTCTATCAGTGCCATTTTTCACTATTCTTTTTTTTTTCTCCGGATTATATTGTGTAGGTAAGCAACGAGCAAAAAGTCTGAAAACTTGAAAGGGGAGATAAGATTGAAAGACAGGAAACTACAGGCTGTGTTTGGACCATGGTTCAAAGTCGCGGTCGCGGTTGCGATCGCGGCTTGGACTGTTCCATATCGATCTCGATATATCGGTCGTGGTCTCGGCGAGATGCGAATTTGTGAAATTTTAATATTCTAAAAATTGTAAAAAATATGATAAACAAAAATAATTAAAAAATTAGTAAAAATAATAAAAATTTAAGTTGACTCGGGATGACTCGTAGTGACTCGGTGTGATTCAGCCGTTTCAACCCTTCACGGTGACGTCTCGGCCTGTCACGTATCTTGAAAACGTTTCGTCGCGGTCTCGTCTCGGACTAGGCCGAGATGGAGACGACTCGGCCAAGTCATCTCGGTCTCGGTTGAGTCTTCGAACCATGGTTTGGACTAATAATTCAAAATGGTTGGAACACTAACTACTTTATCGTGTTTGGATATGGACATAGAAGTTATAATTAGTTTCATGAGTGAAATTTTTACCTACTATTCATTTCCCAAGAATCCACCCATTTTATTTAGATTCCTTGTATGTTTCACTAACAAATGCATAGGTAATCATTGGTGTTTTATGAGGATGAAAAGCAAAAGAAAACTACCGGCCTCTTTATTGCTCTCTTTCATCTGATCTCCATCCTTCATTTTCGTAGTGACTTGCAATGCTTGGGTCACCCTTTCACAAAGGTTAACTGTTAGCTTTGGTGAATTATCTAAGGAGATGCAATTTGATTTATTTGTTGACGTGCAATTGACTAATCATTCATTGTTATTAGGGTTAACAATATAAAAGTCCCCTGTGGTAAAACTATTATATAGAAAAGCCCCCTGTGGTTTCATATCAGACACGTTGGTACCCCATGATTTGAATTATTCTGAAAAATTGACGGAAATCGTTATAACAGACGGAGCTGAGTGAAAAGACGAAAATACTCAAATGATATAAGCGAAAATTGCAGAAGTAATTTCGGGCAAGGGCACGGGCCAGGCGGTCAGCAGTGTCTTGACCCAAGACTCCACCATTGTGGACCCAACAAAGCGAGGTTATCAAGATTGAGCTCTTCGGTCCAAGAAGCGTGGCGACGGGGGAGGAGGCAGTTTTCCGAAGGAACTTCTCGGCAATGGCAGCAGTTGCTGCGGTGGTGGCGGAGGAGGATGAGGATGAAAGAGTCTGATACGTCGAGTGCTGCCGCGGTTGGACTGGGGTCGGTTAGGATGAGGAGGAAAAAGAGGAGGAGGGCTGCGGGGAAGGTGGCGGCAAAAGGGTATAGGAAGTTGGCGGAGACGATAGGGGGATTTGCGGACATATATGAGAGAGTAGAGGAGGCGAAACAGAGGCAAATGGTTGAGTTGGAGAAGCAGAGAATGCAGTTTGCCAAGGATTTGGAGATTCAAAGGATGAAGCTTTTTATGGAATCCCAGGTCCAATTCGAAAAGCTTAAGCGATCTAAGTGCAATTCACCATCTGGTGGTAAGTTTATCTGTGCATTTGCATATTGTCTCAAGTAATGCTGGCAATGTTACATGACTAGTTTCAGCCTAGAGTTTCTTGGGTTTCTTGACGAGCCTCTCTTCCACCTCTTCTCTCCAGTTGTAAGCAGGTTTGCTCTCTCTCCTCTCATTCCTCAGTTGCCTTCTCTCCCTGGCCGTTAGCTGCTTTTCATTCACGGACTCTACAGTCGCTGAGATCGTGAAAGAAATAATGGGACTTCGGAGCTTATTGAAGGCTTTGGAGTAATGGGTGGACGGGAAAGAAAGAGAGGGCAAGGACTCCATGTAAGAAGCCTTCGCTGCAGCTCTATCATCCCTATTAGTATCTCGTTATTCAATCTGATTTTGATCTGGTTTTGTTTTCTTGGCACAGATGGCTTGTGTTTCTACTATTTTGGTGTTTGTTTGATTTTGGGTCAACTAGCAATTTGGTAGATGAAGGGTAAAATAGGCATATCAGGTGAAAGTTTGTGATAGAAATCTATTTTTCGTAAGAAACACGCGCCTTTCTAGTGCGTTTAATACAAACGCCGTACATTTGACGATTTCCGTCGACTTTTCAGAATAATTCAAACCATGAGGTACCGACATGTATGATATGAAATCACATGGGGCTTTTCTGTATGATGGCTATACCACATGAGGCTTTTATGTTGTTAACCCTTGTTATTATTATATGCAACTTTAATAAAGTAGCCAAGATTGATAAAGGATGAAGCTATTGAAGCGGTGGTGATTTATTGGTCGTAGATATTGGTTACAAGAAAATGTTTGCTTATTGAGACACTATTCATAAATCATCCATTGGATACTTGCCTTCAATAATTTCTGAAAGGTTACAACGTGTGAATGTTTTAAAAAAATAATACAATATGTGAAAACGATTCACTAATAGTTTCTCGATAGAGCTTAATTGGCTATACTTGTCAATTTGCTGTTTGAGGCTCCACTTCACATCTATAAATGAATGCAATAATTAGCAGGACATCTATAAATGAATGCAACAACTGTCAAGATGAAAATATATGACTGTGATGTGTTTGCTGGTTTTATTAAAATAAAAAATACATAGGACAAAAAAAAAGAATTAGAATTATCTTTACATTGAGTTCATGTCGTTGAAATAACTTGTGCGGTAGATGCGTGCTTGTAATATGTGTTAACCTTTATGAATCCCACACAATGTTTGTTTGGCCCTGATAAATCATTTTTTATTGTGCAAATATTGCAAACGAGTTTTAGAAATTTTGCAGCAAATTTATCTTCTCAAATAACTCAACCAATTTGATTGGGATAAAAAAATTGTGGCTAAGTTTTTTGTTCGAATAATCACTTAGGTACAAACCAATCCCTAGTGGACTCAAATTCTAGACTCTTTAAGAGTTTCTAACCAAGCAGTAAATAGCCAAGCATCTAAAAGTCATTGTAAGCATAAAGTTCCATTCTACACCATCTAAAAATCACAGTGGCGCGTAGGGGTGGGCAAAATTATCTGCTAACCCGAAAACCCGTCATATCCGATCCGATCCAATCCGAAAATTAGGATATCCGATTTTTATTATTTGATCGGTCAAAAGAGGGTCGGTATCCACTAAGATGCGGAGCGGGTTAGGGTCACATAATTAAAAATCCGCAGATACCGATCCGCCCCGCATATATATATATATTTTTTTTATTTTTTATACACACACTATAAAATAATAAGTTAGAACTAAATAAGTAATTTTATTGAACAAATTGCATTACAAATATGAGAGACTATAGTTTATTTACAAGATTCATTTGTAAAGACCATGATCTTATATTTTATAAAAAAAAGTTTAATTAATGTGGAACATATATATTAAAAATTGTGCTACTTATTTCAAACTTTTATTGATTTTGAATTCTTTTAATTTTTTTCCTTTATCTTATATTCTCTTCATATGTTTGTTTCTTGGTGGGAAACCTTTTTTTAGAAAAAAAAATTATTAAATCTTAGATGAATGTGTAAAATATAAAATTACATTGGTATAAATCTTTTTTTAAAAAAAATTAAATGATAAACGGGACGGGACAGGTATCCGCTGATCCGATCCTATATCAACGAGTACCCGTTATAGGGTAACCTGATATGCAGGACGGGTAAGAGTCAGAAAATGGCTGACCCGCAAAGTGCGGATCGGGTCAGTCAAATGGTGAATGGGACGGATACCGACCCACACCCACCCTAGTGGCTCGTGCTATTGTAGGTGAACACTACTTTCCGATGACCTGAAAGGGAAAGTTGACTTCATGTAGCATTCAAACCACACGCAGTTGCCATCAGTAAACGCCTCCATTTTTAGTGCACAGCAAAAGAGGCAAACTAATGAGCTGCGCAGGAGGACCCTTCAAGATGATAGCACAAATGGGCAACGAACAAGCAGCATTACTTGTGGACTTGAAACTATACAATCACACGAGCATTATCTCCACCTTGATCATCAAGTCTTTCACGAATGATCAAAAAAACATGTAAAACTTGCTAAGCTTCTCAAGATATTTTACATAAAAAGTTGAGATTTTACAACCCGGTTTGCACCTACCATCCACACAAACTAAAACCAAGGACTCCGAACAAAGTTAAATTAAAGTTCTTCTTCCCTGGGAATGGAAAAGGAACTTCTAGTAGACAAACTATCTTTGCTGCATCATACAAGGAGAGTACATGGGGCTTTCCTAACAGCAAGTCAAATCATCTGTGCAAAAGAAATGAGACGCCATAGACCGCACTGTCCAGCAATAAAGAAAGGAGAAAAGGTATATGCAAGAGACAGGGTCCGCCAAGATGAGAATAAAGTCTGGATCAGCCGGTCTGATCATGAAGCTTAAGAATTCAGATGCCCACGGAATTTCTAAGCCGCTCTCCTATTGGGTTGTCACACTCTTTGCAAGATTTCGGGGCTGGTCAACATGTGACCTCGTAGAACAGTTAGATGGTAGGCCAACAACTGCAGGGAAAGAGCAGGGAAAGATAATTATCCGCAGAAGTATCAGCTTTTATAGCAATGAGAAACAAAACGCAATTCTTGAGAAGGTCTACCAACAAAATAAAAGAAATTTTACAGCCTGTACTATAAGCCAAATAGTTATCAAGATGTGTCATAGCTCTTTCCAAAGATGACAAAAACAAAACGAGGAAATCAAAGGTTCAACTGCACAACATAACCAATTGTATATACACTCGCTCAATCAAAAACAATACTCAACTAAAGTGTTGCAGTAAAATATAGAAGAGTGCAACTATTGGCTCCCTTAGAATCTTTGAGATTGAATTCCCTTTGTAAGACAGTTACCTTAGGGCACGGATAAAATTAACATAGTTGCTGTTGATCATATGGTCTACTTTACCCAGACAAATAAAAATCAAAGACTTGCAGAGCTTGCAGACTTTTCATAGTTCTTGGGCTTAATATTCAAGCTGCTCTGAGAGTTGAAATCATTATTAAATAGTTTAACAATTTGGTACCTAAAAGTTCCTAAAAATAGCAGCATTTAGGTTCCCAGAGTAAAGAAGATCCATACTGCCAAAATCATCCTTCATCCAACTCAATGAATAGTTAACACAAGAAAAGGTTCCCAATAAAAGTGGGCAATTTACCTGCAATGGAATTACATTAAGTACAGGCTGGAGACAGTCTTCAACATGAGGAACTTCAATTACTCGACAAGATCCACCAACTGATACAGATGCAGAATCTCCTTTCGTGCACATAACTATTAGTCGACCTTTCCTAGCATGAAGTTGCTGAATGACTGATTGTTGTTTGCTGCAGCAAAAGAGATGTTTATGGAACAGATATACTAAACACAAAACCACTAGTTTATCAAAACATTCAACTAACCTGAAACAAGCATCACGAGTAGCAATCACAACAATTGGAAGGTTGTGATCCACTAAAGCTAAAGGTCCGTGTTTCATTTCACCTGCAAGAATTCCCTCACTATGCATAAGAGCAACCTCCTTTACCTTCAAGGCGCCTTCTAGAGCTGTTGCATAATTATATCCTCTTCCAAATACAAGAAGTGATTGTTCATTAATGAGCAGTTCAGCAAGATCTTTCATTTCCTCATCCAGCTTGAGAACCTCTTTCACTTTGCCTACCGTTTTCAAAAGCATAATATAATAGAATTAGATACCTCAAAAAATAAATACTAGAAAGCACACATTTGTAGGCAGAAAAACTAAAGAATGTAGCTGCAATGCAAGAAACAAGCAAGACGCATACTCGGCAAGTCTAATAGACCATCTATTATTGCTTCTCTCCTTGCTTCATTTGAAATCATGTCTCCTCCAACAGCAAGGGCCAACATTGCCATAACTACAATTTGACTGGTGTATGCCTGTTGATCAAGCAACAACATAACAAGTCACATAATAGTAAAACCAAAAGAAAAAAAAAGAAGGAAATAAAGCCAAACACACAGTGCCAATCACTTGCCTTAGTGCTCGCCACACCTATTTCACAACCAGCATTAATATGCACACCGCAGTGGGTTTTCCTAGCAAGCGCACTTCCTACAGTGTTTGTGATTCCAACGCACAATGCACCATTTTCTAAAGCATAATCTAATGCCTGTAAAGTATCAGCAGTTTCACCAGACTGACTGACAAAAACAGCTGTGTCTTCCCTGTATATTGGCCCCTGCCTATCCACTAAATCACTAGCAACCTCCATCGTAACCGGAACACCTGTATACAGGAGAAATCAGCGAAAGAATCAGTTTACCAGATGTCATCATCCATACAGTATAGCAACAGCTAACAATTAGTACCAGAAAGTTCTTCCACAATAGGTCTTGATGCTAAAGCTGCATTATAACTTGTGCCGCAGCCCACAAAGACAATCCTTCTGCTTCTCCTGATAGTCTTTAGATGATCTTTCAGTCCACCTAAAAGCACAGTCTTGGATTTGCATGCCCCTCCACGTATTAGCCTCCCTCTCATTGTCGTAGTTAAAGATTCTGGTTGCTCATGAATCTCTTTCTGCATGTAATGCTTATACTTCCCCTTATTTATTTGCTCAACCTCCATTTCAAGAACAGATAATGCACACTCAACAGAAGCAGGCCTAGCAAGAGTGCCACCACATCTACCCTTGGCATGGTCAAACTTGAAAATAGACACACCTCCATCCTGAATAGTGAAAGTCACAATGGTCATACAATACAAATATTGCATGTCACGAAGAAATGCCATATGTGCATAACACCATTATCTATGCATGTGAAAACCATCCATCAAAATTTAGCTAGTTGTCCCAAAAAGTTAATATCAAAATATACATATACATATACTAAACTGGGAATCAATTTAACTACTGAAGAATAACATACCTTTAGATGAATAACATCCCCATCCTCGATTACCAAAACCTTTTTTGTGTGTTCAACAAGTGCATTTGCATCACTTGCAAAAAACAATTCCCGGGGTTGCTGATTGTTTGAAAGAAATTTTGCATCATTAAATGATGCTCCGATGCTGCCCTCATCTTCAAGGTCCTAATTGCAAATTCATTCACAAAAAAACAGGTCATCAACATGGAGAAGAATAGGGCAACAAAATCATGTTTAAATATCTGTATCTCCTTTTTATTTTTCCAATTTCCCTCTGTCATCCCCATGGAGCACCTAATGTCAAGGCAAACTGTTTTATGTATTTTTACAAATTCATTTTGTGGATAAAGTG